GACAAACTCTCAAGGAAACTGTGGGCTGTTGGAGGGGTGGATCTGACCTTAGAAGCCATCAAGTCCAACATTCTAGCCAGCAGAACACTTCTGATAGGAGGCCGTGCAGCTGCAGCTTGAACACCACTGGTGACAGAGAACTCACTGTCTCACAAGGCTTCCTTGCCTCTTTTTAACAGCTCTTATCAGGAAGGGGGAGGCATCTCCTTTTTCTCCCTGCAGTTTCCACTCACTGGTCTCAGTGCTGCTTCCAGAGCCACACAGCATGCGTTAGCCTAACTCACCTTTGGTACTTAGATGCTTGACAAACACTGCTCTGGGCTCCTAGAACTCATCTTTTCATGCAGCCTAATGGATCCCTGATTTCATCAACTATTCTTCGGGTGATACAAGTTCAAGATTCCCTAACCACTCTTGGTAATATTCCTTTGTACACACCTGTTTCTCAAAGGGCCTCTTAACACATTTTTCTTAGAGCCAAGTACATGTTACAGATGTTCAATGTTAAAGCACGTGTTTTAACTAGCATATTATACATGAGAAATCTGACCTTCACTTTGACACTGTGCTTTTGTGTAATGCAGCATTTGCTTACATTAGCTTTTCTTCCAACTATGTTACACGCTTGCTACTTTTTGAGTAAAGAGACAAATAAAATCCCTTTTCCAAAGATCTAGAGACCACAGGGTGTGCAGTTAGACTTCCATCTCGGCTACTTCCTTGCTGTGTGTCTTGACTTCACCTCTTTGGAACTTCACACATGACTTAACCTCTTTGAACTTCAGTTTCTTCCTCTGTAAAATTTGCACATTAATAGTAACTACTTTGGTAGACTACTAGCTGTCTCCCCAGACCCATTCTCCTCTTCTTTCATGATAACTGAGTTTTAACTGGGTGCATGGCCATCCAGCTACAAACCATATTTCTTAGGCCATGTTCTCCCCAATGGAATATGAGCAGAAGTGATATGTGTACCTTCTGTAGTGCTTGCTTAAAAGAAAATGGCTTTTAGTCACGGGTCATGGAGTAGACAGTAGGAATGGAGTCAATGGAATTGTAATAGACAAGCATGATATTGGGGGTGGGAGGGCAGTAGATGGGTGGAGGGGGGTTGTTACTTTGTGAGGGTGAAAAGGATAACTATTGCATTGTTCTGTACACCTGAAACTAACAATAAAAAAATTTAAAAAAAAAAGAAAATGGCTTGTCCTGGCTTTCTTTTCCTTTCCTCCTTTTAGGGCTGGAATACGGAAGCGATAGTGACCTCATTTCAACCTTGCAGTTAAGGACAACACCTAAGGGATGCAGAGCAGTCAAATGGAAGGAACCTGACTCTCATGGAACAGAGCTGATCCTGTCCAACTATTACAGGAGAAAGTTACCTGCATGGCCACTTAGGCTTTACCCTTATTTACCCACGTTTAGGGTTTCTTTGAGGATCATGTGAGAGAATGCGTGTAGAAATGCCTGTCATATTGTAAGTTCTCAATAAATGTTGGGATTTGGCAGTATTTTTAGTAGTATGACAGTACAGTTGATTTGTTTCAGTGTAATTGCTTTTGCTCATGAACATGTCATGCCATCTCAATTCTGTTAGACAATGCATTAGATTCTCCCTTCTTGAATGTAGTTTTGAATGATTTTGGAAATGTGGGGAGCTAATCTGTGTTTTGATTTAAATCTTTGACAAAATGCTGAGGGGAAAATGGTGGGTAGCTCCATCCCAAGGACCTATTTTTATTGCCTACCTTAGTGACCTCCAGTTAGATTTATCATTAATGAATGATCTTTGATTATGGCTATTAAACACGTATGAATCTATCTAAAGCTTACTTTTCTGTTAAGTATTTATTGTATGATAAAAAAATATGGTGAATGTTTAAATAAAAATATTTATTACATTAAAAGACACATTGCCATTAATACTCCTCAAAATACTCCCCCTTGTTTCAAACACACTTATCCCATTGTTCTTGCCACTTTCTGAAGAAGTTCTGAAAGTCCTCTTTTCTGAGTGTCTTTAGTTGCACTGTCATGGCTGCCTCGATGTCCTGAATCATTTTGACTTTGGGGAAGAGCCAGGAGTTGCACGTGCTAGATCCAGTGAATAAGGTAGATGAGGACATACCATATAATGTTTTTGTTTGACAGAAATTGCCGTATATCAGAAGTGACGTGTGACACGGAGCATTGCCATGATGGAGTATGACTTACGGCACACTTTAAAACACCTTCTCTCAACTGTAGCTCACACCCGAATGACTGCACCAAACAAGCTGGAACTTGTCACACACTGTTACTAAGGTTCCATGCACTGCTTCACATATTAAAGATCCCTGCCTTTCCATTGGATGGCACTCGGCAACAGCATTCACCGTATTGTTTGATCACAACAGAAAGGCTCTGTGTCACACATTGCTTCTGGTATGGCAATTTCTGTCAAATAAAAACACAGTGTGTCCTCATTAACCTTATTCACTGGATCTGACACCGTGCGACTTCTGGTTCTTCCCCAAAGTCAAAATGACCATGAAAGGAAAATGTTTTGAATCAATTCAAGATATAGAGGCAGTCACAACAGCATAACTAATGACACTCATGAAAGAGGACTTCCAGAACTGCTTCAGAAAGTGGCAAGAATGATGGGATAAGTGTGTTTGAAGTGAGGCAGAGTATTTTGAGGAGTATTAATGGCAATGTGTCTTTTACTGTAACACATTTTTTTAAATTTAAAAATTCACCGTATTGGGACAGTCAAGTGGTGCATTGGTTAAGAGTTGTCTTGGGAGCGCCAGCTCTGAGCAGCAGGGCCCCGGTTTAGATCCCACATGAGGGCCAGTGATGCTGCGTCCTCTCCAGCTAAGATGGTGAACAACAGCTCGACCTAGAGCTGGGCTGCAGTGAGTCACCAGCGATGGCGTAGGTTGCAGTGGGGCTGCAGTGGGCTGCCGTGAGCTACCATGAGTGGCTGGCAGCCAGGGTGAGCTGCCATGAGCCTCCATGAGCCACCGTCCAATAACCTGCGACTGATCTGCCTCAGCAGGGAACAGTGCAATGATAATACCAACATGGGCCAGTGAAGCAACGTCCTCCACAACTAGACTGAAGAACAGAAGGACAGCAACTTGTCTGTTCCCCTTCCCCGATTCCCCAATAAAATCTTTAAAAAAATAAATAAATTCACCGTATTGTTTGTTCACACCTCGAAAATGCCACAAAAGTGGGTTAAAGCAATAATGCTGAACTGGGAGTCAGCACGTCATTGAATCAACAGCAAAGTCATACCCCATGCTTGGCAACATAATATCTGAGGTAAGGCACTGAGCTGTGTTAGAAGACCTAAGTTCTAGTTTCTTCTCTGCCCCCCCCCCAAAATATATATAATCAGTGACCAGTGTTAACTGGTCATTTTGCTTCCAAATATAATCATTTTAACTAGTATTCAACATGGAGATAACACTGCTTTTCTTAGCTATCTCACAGGGTGGAATTAGAGTAAAATACACCAGAAAGTGCTTTGAAAGGTCAAGAAGACAATTATAACCAGAAAAGCTAACTGAACACCTAACACGTGATAGTCATTCTGCCGATGCTTTACACAGGTTTTCTCATCAAATTCTGTCAACTGGCCGTAATCCTTACTTTAGTGATGAGGAAACTTAAAATCTTGCCTAAAGTCACAAAGCAGGGCCAGAACCTGCAGCCAGACTTGCCTGGTTTCCAAACCTATTCTGATGTCACCCACTGTCATGAGTTATCGTCACTCAGATGCAGACTCGTTTCCGAGTCTCTCATGAAACCCAACCCTCCACCCCCTGACAGCCTCCCCTTGTCCCGAGAAGGCACACAACAGACCCGATGAGCTGTGAGCCCGCGTCATCCTCCTCATGAACGCGCCGGGTGAGGCCACAGTTCTCCAGCGACAGTTTCTCCAGCAGCTTGAAGTCCACGTCATTCCCGATGCCGATGGTGAAGATGCAGACTTGGCCTCGGGCGGCCTCCTTGGTGTTGTTGAGGATCGTGAGGGTATGGGTCTCCCCAACAGTGGGTTTCCCGTCCGTCAGGAAGATGATGAGGGACACGCTGCGGTCCTCAATGTCATTGTGGGCCACATAGTTGTTGAGAAGCCTGATGGCCCTCTGCAGGGCCCCGTTGATGTCTGTACCTGTGGGCCACCAAAACAGGACAGCTCACGCCTGTGCACGTGCCTCCTTAACCTGGGACTGCATTCATGGCTGCAGATCACTGAAAACCATTCAAGCATGAGCAAGAGTGACATGTGGTGGGGTGGGGGTGCAGAGAAGTCACCTGCATATACAGGGTGATTCCAGGTCACACAGCCTGTCTAGAAATCTGGCAAGTGTTTGCTGAGTACTTTAAATGTTTTAACTCATTTCATCCTAATCACAACTCCATTATCACACCCACTTTACAGATGACGAAACTGAGGCCTAGCGAAATTAAATGACTCATGGATAGTGGAGCTGGATTCAAATCCAGGCAATCTGGCTTCAGAATCTATGCTCCCAATCCTGATGTTACACTTCTGTGAGAGCAGTGCATTAATTTTCTGCTCACCTGCAGAGTTTGGGACAATGAAGTGCTGAGAAAAAAATAAAACCAATAAGGTTTCTAAGGTTTAGATTCTAGAAAAACATACATAATGCACGTCAACTGTTTTCAACCATTATCACCACCCCCACCCCAACCCCCCACCACATAACTTTCTAATTATATGAAGTACCATGAAAATAAATTCAATTTAACAAGTATTCGTTGGGCATACACTACACGTCAGGGGCTACACCGGGAACTAGGGGACATACAAAAAAGGGTTTCTTCCCTCAGGGGCTTTACTGCCTGTTGACTTCCGGCCATAGATCATCACTGTAATATTAAATGTAATCTCTTCTTGCTCCCATCAACTGGCAAAGCAGCTCCCAGATCACACTGCTCTGGAGACTGGTAGGAAATCCCATTGTCAATCAAAGTTTGGTCCAAGCAAGATCAAGTTCCAAATGAAATTCATTTGGGAAATCAGAGCTTTGTCTTGGATAAGAAATAACAAATACGTGAAAGATGAAAAATCTCCAAGGGAGGAAGATTAAACTGAGGGTTTTGTGTTTCCAGCGGAGCAAAGCAAAATTAACCAAGACAACAACTCTGAAAGATGGCGTCTCTGTAAAGGGCCTTTAGAAAGGGAGGAGGGGTCAAGTTCAGGTCTGCTGAGCCTGTCATGTGTCCACTGTTACTAGGGACCGAGAGAACAGCAAGAGTAAGACCTAGGTCCTGAGCTGGAGGACCTTACATCTGACACAGTTGGTACCATTAGCACACTGTTCTGATACTCTAGTCTTTCTAGAGTTCTTTATGACCTTTCAGTCCTGGACACCATACCAAAGCCAAGTGTGCAAAGACTCAGAGCTCATCACACTTTCCATCTGGGGAGTATCCCAGGCCCCCTGAGATTCCTGCTCTGCTCCCTGTGACAACCCTGCAAGGGGACTAAGGGTTCAGCTGGGTAGTTCCACCTGCCGCTTCCTAAGGTGCTAAGATTCAAGTACACAAAACACTGACTCGTCTATTTGGCTGTAATTCCCCACCCAAAACATTTTACAAAAACAGCTTCATTGTTCCGGACCCGTGAGATAAACCAGGAAAGGCTCCAAACCCTATCAGGTATTTCCCCTCATAACTTACTTGACCATCTTCGTTCGGGGCCTGGAAGAGGAGAATTTACAGATTTGGTGTTCAGAGAAACATAAGCTTCTGGGAAAGTTCTCAGCTGTTATCGCCTTTCCTGTGATAGCTTTGGCATTCAAATCCTTGCCTCTTGGGAGAAAATTAGCTACTTGCTTATTATCACGTCAAAGCTAATGTGAAAAGGAGGACTCATATTTACCTCCGGTGGGCGACATGTGGTGAATATAGACTTTGGCATCTCTGATATTGTCTGGAGTAACTGACACCAAGTGGTCCTGCCACACTTTGATTCGGTTGGAAAATCCAATGATACTGAAGTGATCCTGGGGTCGGAGGTCATGGAGAATTGTGAAGAGGGCATCCTTGGTCTAGGCAAACACAAAACCAAAACCAGTCATGTATGATCGCATTGGTCCACGTGTCCCCTGGCTGGGAAACTGCACATCAGGAACAGGCTCAGGGTTAAAATGAAGTGCCTACTATGCAACAAGCACATGGCTAAATGTCAAGGAACTTTGTCACATCACCAAAAAATTGACATAAATATGTGATAATTTTATACAAGACACAAGTGGGTGTTTAATACGTGAAACGTTGCATGCTGTTGTACAACGTGGTGTATCAGGCCCCCCATGTTCTCACAATTGCTGTCTTCTTGATCTGGAGTGTTTTTCCCCCACTGCCTATGCCCCGTTGTTTTCACCCAATAAGCCCCCAGTCATTCTTCAAAGCCTAGCTGATGTACTGTATTCTCTGTTTGAAACATTTTCTAACCTTCCAAAGACAGCTGATCCCTCCGCCCTTTAGACTAGAACAGTCCTCAATACACTCGTATTATAAAGTGCTTACTACCCAGTAACCATTACTTGCTGTACATCTCTGTCCCTTACTATACAGCGACTCTTTGTAGGCTGCCTCCCCTCATTTTCATATCACCCCATGTGTAGGAGAACTCCCAACATACAGGAGGTGCTGGAGAGAAGTTTAGTGAATGGATGAATGAATGAATGGACATTTCATGAATTAGAAGATTATAAGTGCAAATAGTAAATACCACAGGAATTTAAAAAGACAGAAAACTATGGGCTGGAGTGACGAAAGAAGGCTTCACAGAGGAGGAGTTTGAGTATGAGGCTTAAAGAAATCGGATAACTTGAAAGACTAGGGAGGGTCTTCTGAAAAGAAGCAAGGAAGGTGTGATGGTTCCAGCAAAGCCGAGAGGTGACCCGGGTGAGTGTGGCGATACCGAGTGGACAAGAGGTGTGGATAAAAGACATGACTTGTGGAAAGAAAAGAAAGACCATATGAAACTGAGAACAGGAAGAGTCTAGGAGCCTGGACGAGGGTTGCTAAAGCAATTGACTATGTATTGTCTTCTCTAAATGGCATTGTTGTTAGACATTTAAAGAGATGCTCATTACATAATTGCCATAACAATAATACCTGGTGGCCGGTGGCTTTGACAGTGGCTAAGAGCACAGACTTCAGAGCTGGGTGTGAGCCTCCATCTGTCCCTTACTCTTTGTGTGGCCCTGGGGCCCTGAGTAGTAAGTGCCATCACTGACCATCTTTCCCTTGTCACTGTACCTAAGTTACCCCATCTGCAAAAGTAGGGCAATCGTAGTGCTACTGCATCAGGTTGTCATGAGGATGAAATCAGCGACCACAGAGAAAGTGTTCAGAACAGAGCCAGCCACATAGTACATTACACACGTGTGTGCTCTTACTTGCCAGTGGGTGGGAGGGAGCAGAGTTACGGAGAATCAGTCAAGTCTGGCTTAGTGACTGCAGAATGAGGTGTGGTACGAAGCTCTATGGTTACCCTGAAAATATTCTGTAGGTCTTTTCCCAGATTCTACAACTATCTGCCTTTGCTTTATAACCAGCTTCAGATGGTATTGTCCCCTCACACTGCACCTTCTGCCTCCATCTATGCGAAGTAGCCACGATTTCTTTATCTTTTCCCTTTGGAATGGTCCCTCTTCCTCGCTTTAGTCTTACTCTTCAACCCTGTATTTAGCTGTATTCACTCTAACATCCCAGTGTCCAACCCGTGAATGCCACAGGAACCTCGAAATCCATTAGAAAACAAATCTGGACGTATCTGCTTTTAAATCTGTACATTGCATTCTTTTAGTAAGCTAAGAGTTTCTAGCCTGAGCAGACAAATGTTCGCCTTATATTCTCCTGGTGGATCCTTACTGAATGAATGACAGTTGTGCCTCAGTTTCCCCCATCTCCTCATCCCCAGGTTGAGAAACCAGTGGAGTTCAATGATGATGACAGCACGGGCAGCTAGCATTCCCTGGGAGCCCTCTACTCCCCAGGTATGATGCCAAGTGCCAGTGCTTCTCACAGGCTCAGGCCGTGGAACCATGTCATACTCATAACCCACTGACGACATAAAGTATGACAATTAAAATTCCCATTTTACAGGCAAGGCGACTGAGGGATGAAGGGCTTAAGCATCATGCCCCATGGGAGCCTGGATGGAAACCTAGGAAGTCGGGCTCCAGGGCCAACATTTATATGAGCAGCACTGGAATCTCAGCCCCAAGATTGCTGGCACTGCGCCGCCTCTGAGTTATAAGCCTTATAATGTGCAACTGATTTTGGGACCCCTTCCAGGTCTGTGCATGTTAATGGGCTCTGTTTATTTCTTTGTTTCTTTCACTTCATTTCTGGCAGCAATTAATGGATTCATTTCCTATAACATGCTTGCAGAAAGCATCCACCCGGGGATGAGAACAATGAACGCAGTTCATTAAATCCATCCTCTCATCCTACAGAGGGTTGTCCCGCCCCCACCCCTCACCCCCACTCCCAGTTCTTCCATGAGAAAAGAATGGCGACGGGAAGCTTATTTTCATCCAGGATCTAACAGTCTCCCTCTCGTCTCTGTTCTTCCTTTCTGGTGCTGGGCCTTTCCTCCTTCCGTCCAAACACAACCTGGTTTTTCAGAGGACAGACACGCTAGCAGCCGAATTTCCTGTCCTCTCCCAACCCTGACTTGCAGGAAACGTGTCTAAGGACCTTGTGATAATAAGCAGAATCCATACCCAAAACCTGTCAGCAGCACCTAGAAGCCATTTTTAAGTATCTGTAGGCTTTCTACCAACATGGTGGTTCCTTCCTTCTTGCAACTCTGCTTGCCTCTGGTTTCCCCGGCACCAGCCTGGATGCCCGCCTCCCTGACCTGTCCTCCCGCGCTGTTGCTGGTGCCAACTTCTCAGCCCACACTGTGACGTTTACGCACTCAGCCCCCTTCACACGACACACCTCCCCTCGGCGAGTTCATCCATTCCCAGTTACTGGATGGCTGGCTTCCACACCTGCCTTCTGAGCTCACCGCTCTCGTGAGCTCCAGACCGGTTCTCCCTGCATGGCCCACAGGCATCTCAGACTCAACATATCGAAGATTTGAAGCTTTGCCTTTCGACCCAAACCTTTCCTCCTCTGCTGCTCTCTGTCCTAGAGAATGGCACCTCCAGCCACCCAGTGGCCCAGGTCAGAACCAGACATCATGCTGCACCTTCTTCCTGCCCAGTCCTGGCCATCCCACCTCCTTCTGCAAACCCCCGTCTTCCTAAACATCCCTGCGGTCATAATCTGGGCTCAGGCCATCTCTGCCCTAGATTAGCAATAGACATTTTTTTTCTTATATATTTTTTCTTAATACAAAAAAAATATTCCTTTAAAAGAAGATCAGAAGAAAAACATATAAAAGTCACAAAAGCCACGCCTCCCCCACCCCCATCTAGAAACAGTCACTTTAGTTCTGGGCTCACACATCGTTTTCTAGGACAGCGCTTTTTGCCTCCCCACCCTCCACCGTTCTATCTTTTCCTCCACAACATTTATGGAGAGAATGTAATCACATATTTGTGCATTTGCTTGTCTGTCCAACTCAATTCTACGCTTCTGAGCGCAGGCTCTTTTTCCATTTGCTCACTCTCTATTTAATCCCCAGCAGTGTCTGGCCACAGGATAGGTGCCTGATGCATGCTTCCTGAGTAAGTTCATGGTGAATAAGTGGCCTGTCTGTCACACTGGCTAGGGCTCCTCAAGACAGCTGTCCCCTTGCCCTTTCCACCCTCACAACTTGGCATTGTACACATTGTAGGCTTTCAGTAATTACCTGTTGAATGAGTAAATGAGAGAGAGGTGGGATTCCACTGAGTGAACACAAAGGAAGGTAGAGAAGGACAGAAGCCCCTGTCCTGGAGAACCCACAGCAGACAAGGCTAAGAACACTGATGTGTAGGAATCATAGAGCTGCCCGACCAATAGTGTTCAAGTAAAAATAAACAAATCTGATATTACAATAAACAGACGTGGGTGGAGGGCCCTCAGAGTTGATGCTGATCGCTTAGCCAGCGTTCCGGCAACAACATGTCTCCTCGCCCGTCCATCCACTTAAGAGTCAACACAACCCCAGCGTGAGCATCAGACGGGCTCGGTGTCACTCCCTGCCCAAGTCTGGAAAGCCTGAAGGTCCAAAGCTGTGAGGCAGCGGGATCACAGCAAGCAGTGGCTGTCCCTGAGACACCACTGGGACCCAGTTCTAAGGCAGACACTTGGAAATCGCCCCAGTGCTCCCCGTTGGAGCTCAGAGCTGGCTAGGCACCAAGGGTGCAGACTTGGACAAGGGGAAGCTCGTCAGAAGTGTTGTTTGTTTAGCTGCTGGCATCCTTAAGGATCCTTAAATAGTGTGCCAAAGGCCTCCTTTGCTGCTGTTTCCCCCATTGTGATAGATACTCTGCTGTAGGAATAGTTGTTCAAGCCTCCTCCCCTGAGCTCGGCAACTCCAGGTTTCTTACGACCTTGTAAGGCCACAGCTGCAACTTAACCTCACATGAACCAAGGGAAAAAGGCAAGCCAGCGGGCTCACAGTCACTCCATTTCCAGTTGCATTAGGACCTTTTGGGTGGCCTCCCAGCCTTCGTCCCAAGGGGCCTGGAGAGAAGCTGCCACTGAGGCTTGAAGCCACCACCACCCATTAACCCCTCCCGGGCTCCTCCCCTCTCCTTAGATGGGCTGAGGGCCCCAGGAACTCCACGTTCTGTGGAAGGCTTACAAGGCAGGCAGAAGGTTAATGCCCAGAAAAAAGAATAAATGTAACTGAGCTTATGCTGATATTTCTACACAACGTGTTTATATGCTGAAGATGAACAGAAACCAAGTCAAACTTTTTCCAAGAATACAGTCCAGAGAACAGGGTAAGCACGTTCCAGAAAGATTAGAGGAGGACTAGAAAGGCAGAGAATGTGCAATACGGGTGGTGTGAAGCTTGAACTACCCCGAAGGCCAAGGGGCATCCCATGAGGGGTTGGACTACGTCCCCTTATGGTCCCTCCGAAACCCTGGA